TCTGCCAATCCCTCCACTGGCCTCCATTCAGTGTCCTCCACCCCCCTCTGCCAATCCTTCCACTGGCCTCCACTCAGTCTCTTCCACCCCTCTCTGCCGATCCCTCCACTGGCCTCCACTCGGTGTCCTCCCCCCTCTCTGCCGATACCTCCACTGACCTCCATTCGGTGTCCTCCACCTCTCTCTGCCAATCCCTCCACTGGCCTCCATTCGGTGTCCTCCACCCCCCTCTGCCAATCCCTCCACTGGCCTCCACTCAGTGTCCTCCACCCCTCTCTGCCAATCCTTCCATTGGCCTCCATTCGGTGTCCTCCATCCCTCTCTGCCAATCCCTCCACTGGTCTCCTCCATTCAGTGTCCTCCACCCCCTCTCTGCCAATCCCTCCACTGGTCTCCATTCAGTGGCCTCCACCCCCCTCTGCCAATCCCTCCACTGGCCTCCATTCAGTGTCCTCCACCCCCCCTCTGCCATCCCCTCCACTGGTCTCCATTCAGTGTCCTCCACCCCCCTCTGCCAATCCCTCCACTGGCCTCCATTCAGTGGCCTCCACCCCCCTCTGCCAATCCCCCTCCACTGGCCTCTATTCAGTGTCCTCCACCCCCCTCTGCCAATCCCTCCACTGGTCTCCATTCAGTGTCCTCCACCCCTCTCTGCCAATCCCTCCACTGGTCTCCATTCAGTGTCCTCCCACCCCCCTCTGCCAATCCCTCCACTGGCCTCCATTCAGTGGCCTCCACCCCCCTCTGCCAATCCCTCCACTGGCCTCCATTCAGTGTCCTCCACCCCCTCTGCCAATCCTTCCACTGGCCTCCACTCAGTCTCTTCCACCCCTCTCTGCCGATCCCTCCACTCGGTGTCCTCCACCCCCCTCTGCCGATACCTCCACTGACCTCCATTCGGTGTCCTCCACCTCTCTCTGCCAATCCCTCCACTGGCCTCCATTCGGTGTCCTCCACCCCCCTCTGCCAATCCCTCCACTGGCCTCCACTCTGTGTCCTCCACCCCTCTCTGCCAATCCTTCCATTGGCCTCCATTCGGTGTCCTCCATCCCTCTCTGCCAATCCCTCCACTGGCCTCCATTCAGTGGCCTCCACCCCCTCTGCCAATCCCTCCACTGGTCTCCATTCAGTGTCCTCCACCCCTCTCTGCCAATCCCTCCACTGGTCTCCATTCAGTGGCCTCCACCCCCCTCTGCCAATCCCTCCACTGGCCTCCATTCAGTGTCCTCCACCCCCCTCTGCCAATCCCTCCACTGGTCTCCATTCAGTGTCCTCCACCCCCCTCTGCCAATCCCTCCACTGGCCTCCATTCAGTGGCCTCCACCCCCTCTGCCAATCCCTCCACTGGCCTCTATTCAGTGTCCTCCACCCCCCTCTGCCAATCCCTCCACTGGTCTCCATTCAGTGTCCTCCACCCTCTCTCTGCCAATCCCTCCACTGGTCTCCATTCAGTGTCCTCCACCCCCTCTGCCAATCCCTCCACTGGCCTCCATTCAGTGGCCTCCACCCCCCTCTGCCAATCCCTCCACTGGCCTCCATTCAGTGTCCTCCACCCCCCTCTGCCAATCCCTCCACTGGCTTCCCATTGCCCAACGGATAAAATTCAAAACATTAACAATAAAAGCCATTTTATAACTCCGCCCCAAATTACATCACTGATCTTGTCTCTAAATAACACCCAAACCGTCCTCTCTGCTCCTCCCACGACCTCCTACTCTTTATCTCCCTTGTCTCCTCCTCCCATGCTCATCTCCAGGACTTCTCCAGAGCCTCCCCCATCCTCTGGAACTCTCTACCCCAATTTATCAGACTATCAGCTACTCTGCTCTATTTTAGGCGATCTCTGAAAACCGATCTCTTCAGGGAAAGCCTCTCCTCAGCTAATAATGGAATCTTCTACTCCTACCAGTCCATCCCCCACAGTCACTACCTTTTGTACCACAATCCCCCCTCCCTCTTAGATTGTAAGCTTCCAGGATCAGCCCCTCCCTCCTAGATTGTAAACTCCCAGGATCAGCCCCTCCCTCCTAGATTGTAAACTCCCAGGATCAGCCCCTCCCTCCTAGATTGTAAACTCCCAGGATCAGCCCCTCCCTCCTAGATTGTAAACTCCGAGGAACAGCCCCTCCCTCCTAGATTGTAAGCTCCGAGGATCAGCCCCTCCCTCTAAGATTGTAAGTCCCAGGATCAGCCCCTCCCTCTTAGATTGTAAGGTCCCAGGATCAGCCCCTCCCTCTTAGATTGTAAGGTCCCAGGATCAGCCCCTCCCTCTTAGATTGTAAGGTCCCAGGATCAGCCCCTCCCTCTTAGATTGTAAGGTCCCAGGATCAGCCCCTCCCTCTTAGATTGTAAGCTCCCAGGATCAGGGCCCTCCCTCTTAGATTGTAAGCTCCCAGGATCAGCCCCTCCCTCCTAGATTGTAAGCTCCCAGGATCAGCCCCTCCCTCTTAGATTCTAAGCTCCGAGGATCAGCCCCTCCCTCTTAGATTGTAAGCTCCCAGGATCAGCCCCTCCCTCTTAGATTGTAAACTCCCAGGATCAGCCCCTCCCTCCTAGATTGTAAACTCCCAGGATCAGCCCCTCCCTCCTAGATTGTAAACTCCCAGGATCAGCCCCTCCCTCTTAGATTGTAAGCTCCCAGGATCAGCCCCTCCCTCTTACTGGCTTCCCCATTGATTTTGTAAGCTCTCAGGATCAGCCCCTCCCTCCTAGATTGTAAACTCCCAGGATCAGCCCCTCCCTCCTAGATTGTAAACTCCGAGGAACAGCCCCTCCCCCTAGATTGTAAGCTCCGAGGATCAGCCCTCCCTCTAAGATTGTAAGGTCCCAGGATCAGCCCCTCCCTCTTAGATTGTAAGGTCCCAGGATCAGCCCCCTCCCTCTTAGATTGTAAGGTCCCAGGATCAGCCCCTCCCTCTTAGATTGTAAGGTCCCAGGATCAGCCCCTCCCTCTTAGATTGTAAGGTCCCAGGATCAGCCCCTCCCTCTTAGATTGTAAGCTCCCAGGATCAGGGCCCTCCCTCTTAGATTGTAAGCTCCCAGGATCAGCCCCTCCCTCCTAGATTGTAAGCTCCCAGGATCAGCCCCTCCCTCTTAGATTCTAAGCTCCGAGGATCAGCCCCTCCCTCTTAGATTGTAAGCTCCCAGGATCAGCCCCTCCCTCTTAGATTGTAAACTCCCAGGATCAGCCCCTCCCTCCTAGATTGTAAACTCCCAGGATCAGCCCCTCCCTCCTAGATTGTAAAAACTCCCAGGATCAGCCCCTCCCTCTTAGATTGTAAGCTCCCAGGATCAGCCCCTCCCTCTTAGATTGTAAGCTCTCAGGATCAGCCCCTCCCTCTTAGATTGTAAGCTTCGAGGATCAGCCCCTCCCTCCTAGATTGTAAACTCCGAGGATCAGCCCCTCCCTCTTAGATTGTAAACTCCCAGGATCAGCCCCTCCCTCTTAGATTGTAAGGTCCCAGGATCAGCCCCTCCCTCTTAGATTGTAAGGTCCCAGGATCAGCCCCTCCCTCTTAGATTGTAGCTCCCAGGATCAGGGCCCTCCCTCTTAGATTGTAAGCTCCCAGGATCAGCCCCTCCCTCCTAGATTGTAAGCTCCCAGGATCAGCCCCTCCCTCTTAGATTCTAAGCTCCGAGGATCAGCCCCTCCCTCTTAGATTGTAAACTCCCAGGATCAGCCCTCCCTCTTAGATTGTAAACTCCCAGGATCAGCCCCTCCCTCCTAGATTGTAAACTCCCAGGATCAGGCCCTCCCTCTTAGATTGTAAAACTCCCAGGATCAGGCCCTCCCTCTTAGATTGTAAGCTCCCAGGATCAGACCCTCCCTCTTAGATTGTAAGCTCTCAGGATCAGCCCCTCCCTCTTAGATTGTAAGCTTCGAGGATCAGCCCCTCCCTCTTAGATTGTAAACTCCCAGGATCAGGGCCCCCCTCTCTTAGATTGTAAACTCCCAGGATCAGCCCCTCCCTCTTAGATTGTAAGCTCCAAGGATCAGCCCCTCCCTCTTAGATTGTAAACTCCAAGGATCAGGCCCTCCCTCTTAGATTGTAAACTCCCAGAATCAGCCCCTCCCTCTTAGATTGTAAGCTCCCAGGATCAGGACCTCCCTCTTAGATTGTAATCTCCCAGGATCAGGCCCTCCCTCCTAGATTGTAAGCTCCTGGGATCAGGACCTCCTATCCCTCTTGTATTGTTCTGTATTGTCTCCCTGTATATTGTAGCGCTGAGCACACTGTTGGCGCCATAAATCCTGTATAATAATAATAAAAATAATAATAAATAACCAGCCAATCCCGGACACCCAGACAAGCAGAGTGTTCTCTGTCTCACTGTGATTGGCCATCTCTGAACACTGAGCCAGCGTCATACCTCCCTGTGTGTGCAGACAGGATAAGGGGGAATCCTGAAGAGGTGGCCTGCTGGTTGTACCATCCCCTCTATTCATGGGGTGCTTGGAGACATAGAGTAAGTGAACGGATCCACAGCAGCCAATCACAATCTGTCACTGAACTTGCAGCAGCCACTTACAATCTGTCACTGATCAGCAGCAGCCAATCACAATCTGTCACTGATCAGTAAGCTGGGCTGTGATTGGCTGCTGTGGTGTGGGTGAGCAGCTGCTTCTTCTGACACGGAGTGACAAACGTCCGCGGGGTTATAAATAGCGTCCTTTATTTAGAATATCATGGAATTCGGCGGCGGCGGCGGTGATCCCGCCACATAAATATTGACACAACACAAGAATATTAAATATCCCACCCATAGGGGGCGACTCTTATTTACAAGAACATAGAAAAAAATCATAGAAAAGTGGTCCACAAACTCGTCCTCTCGGTGATCGGGGTGAGGGTCCCCCTCCGCCATCCCCCCTGCCTGAATGTTCTCAAGGTCCAGAAAATGTCCACGATTGGTGGCCTGATCTGTGGCGCCCCCTGGAAACGGCTTGTCCTCTCCGGAGAAATAAATAATGCGGCCAGTGGGGGGCGCCGGCGATCGCCTTATAAGACCTGGTAGATGGAGCTGCTGCTGTCCTGGGGGATCTGTGTGCTGGGGGAGGGGATAGCACTGCTCCTGTCACTCAGTGTCTCCCCCTGTAGGGGGGAACAGGGACTGCTCTCCGCAGATGGCAGAAGGGCACAGCCGGGGTTCTCTGTGGAAATTCTCTCCACAATGCTGGACAGGCAGTCTAGGCTGGAGAAGATAGATAGATAGATAGATAATAGATAATAGATAATAAATAGATAATAGATAGATAGATAGATAGATAATAGATAGATAGATAGATAAGAAATAGATAGATAATAGATAGATAGATAAGATAGATAGATAGATAATAGATAATAGATAGATAGATAGATAGATAATAGATAGAAATAGATAATAGATAGATAGATAATAGATAGATAGATAATAGATAGATAGATAATAGATAGATAGATAATAGATAGATAGATAATAGATAGATAGATAATAGATAGATAGATAGATAATAGATAGATAGATAATAGATAATAGATAATAGTTTAATAGATAATAGATAGATAGATAGATAGATAATAGATAGATAATAGATAGATAGATAATAGATAATAGATAATAGATAGATAGATAATAGATAGATAAGATAGATAGATAATAGATAAAAAGATAATAATAGATAGATAGATAGATAGATAGATAAAATAGATAAATAATAGATATAGATAGATAATAGATAAAAAAGATAGATAATAATAGATAATATAGATAGATAGATAATAGATAGATAGATAGATAAAATAGATAATAATAATAGATAGATAGAATATATAAGATAGATAGATAAAATAATAGATAGATAATAGATAGATAGATAGATAGATAGATAGATAAATAGAATAGATAGATAATATAATATAATAGATAGAAAAATAATAGATAAATAGATATATAGATGATAAAAAAGATAGATAATGATAGATAGATAAGATAGATAGATAAGATAGATAGATAGATAAATAGATAGATAAAAAGAATAATAATAGAAATAGATAATAATAGATAATAGAAATAAATAGATAGATATATAATAGATAATAGATAATAGATAGAAGATAATAAATAGATAAATAGATAGATAGATATTAAATAGATAGATAGATAGATATATAGATATAATAGATAAGATAAAATAGATAGATAGAATATAGATAATAGATAAAGATAGATAGATAGATAGATAGATAGATAGATAATAGATAATAGATAGATAGATAGAAAAATAATAGATAATAAAAGATAGATATTAAAATAGATAGATAATAGAATAATAATAATATAGAAAGATAGATAGAGAAAAATATAATAATAGATAGATAAAAATAGAAGATAATAATAATAGATAGATAATATTAAATAGATAGATAATAGATAGATATAAAGATATATATAGATAAATAGATAGATAATAGATAGATAGATAATAAATAAATAATAAAATAGATAATAGAAATAATAAATAATAATAATAGATAATAATAGATAATAGAAGATAATAGATAGATAAAATAGATAAAATAGAAATAATAGATAGATAATAGATAGATAGATAGATAGATAGATAGATAAATAGATAGATAGATAGATAGATAGATAATAGATAGATAGATATAATAGATAGATAGAAATAATAGATAGATAGATAGATAAAAATAATAATAGATAGATAGATAATAGATAGAATAGATAGATAGATATATAATAGATAGATAATAGATAGATAATAGATAGATATAGATAAGAATATATAGATAAATAGATAAATAAAAATATATAGAAAAATAATAATAAATAATAATAGAAATAATAGATAAATATAAGAAAAAAAAAATAGATAGATAAAAATAATAAATAGATAGATAGATAATAGATAGATAATAAAAGATAAAAAAAAAATAATAGAAAAAAATAAAATAATAGATAAATAGATAGATAGATAGATAGATAGATAGATAATAATAGATAAATAATAGATAAATAGATAGATAAAAAAAAAATAATAATAAAATAAAGATAGATAATAGAATAATAGATAGATAAGATAGATAAATAGATATAAATAGATAAAATAGATAAAAATAAAATAAATATAAAATAATAATAATAGATAATAGATATAGTTAATAGATAGATAAATAGATAGATAGAAAAAAAAGAGATATAAATAATAGATAGATAGATAAAAAATGATAAAAATTAAAATAGATAATAGATAAATAAATAATAAATAATAATAATAAATAGATAAATAGATAATAGATAAAAAATAGATAAAATAGATAAATAAAGATAATAGATAATAAAGAAGATAATAAATAATAGATAATAGATAGATAATAGAAAAAATAGATAAGATAAATAGATAATAATAATAATAAAAAATAAAAAAATAGATAATAAAAATAAAAAAATAGAAAGATAATAGATAGATAGATAGATAAAAAATAATAAAGATAATAATAATAAAAAAATAAAAATAGAATAATAGATAATAATAAAAATAAAAAAAAAAATAATAAAAAATAAAAAAAAAATAGAATAATAGATAAAGAATAATAGAAAAGATAGATAGATAGATAAATAGAAATAGAAATAGATAATAATAAATAGATAGATAGATAGATAGATAATAATAGATAATAGAAAAGATAGATAGATAATGATAGATAATAAAAGAAAATAGATAAAAATAATAAAATAGATAGATAAATAGAATAATAGATAGATAGATAATAAAATAGATAGATAGAAATAGATAGATAGATAGATAGTTATAATAGATAGATAGATAGATAATAATAGAAAAAGATAAATAATAGATAGATAATAGAAGAAATAGATAATAGATAGAATAGAATGATAATAGAAAAGATAATAAAATAAAATAAATAGATAAATAATAAATAATAGATAATAATAGATAGATAGATAATAGAAAAAATAGATAATAGAAATAGATAAAAAATAGATAGATAGATAGATAGATAGATAGATAATAGATAGATAGAAGATAAACGGATGGATAAATGAAATAAAAAAATGGATGGATGGTAAATGAATGGACGGATGAATGGATGGATAAGGTATGGATGGATAATATGAATGGATGGATAAGATAAATGGAGGATTCCTATGGGGGAAATGTTAAAAAAATGGGTTGGATGGTTCTTGGATGGAAAAAAAAAAATGGATTTGGATATAAAAAGGTGAAAAAGGAAAACCCCTTGGATGATGGATGATGAATGGAATGGATGGATAAATGGATGGATAGATGGAATGGGATAATGAATGGATGGAAAGGGAAAATGGACAGTGGATGGGTGGGTGGATTAGGGATGGAAAGAAATGAATAAAAAATAAGAGGAAAAAGGATGGATAAACGCCCCCTCAATGGGTGGGTGGATGGATAAATGAATGGATAGAAAAGGGATAATGGATGGATAGGATGGACCCTGAAAAATTGGATGGATGGATGAAAATATGGATAAAGATATTGGAATTGGAAAAATGAATCACCCTGGAATAGATAAAAAATAAAAATGGAACCCTCCCCAACCCCCTAATGGGGGGTCCCCCTCAGAAGATGGACCCCGTCTACTATATGATCCAGGGCACCCGGGCGGAGGGACATCCGGTACCCCGTTGGTGCTGTCTGAGTAGTAGTTTTTGTCATAGCTGGTTCCCCTCCGGCTGGAACCCCCCCTGCACTGTAGTCATTTTGTGAAGAAGAAGCGCCCTGATCAGCCTGCCCCCCTCAGTCTTAGTTCGGACTTTCCCCCCCCGGGTGTTGGTTGTCCCTGAATATCCCTGGAATTCCTCTTGGCCCATTCTATTCAGACATTCCCATTGACCCCCATCCCCATCCTCCCACCCCCCACTATTATTAGTCTGATCTGCCCGTTATCTCGGAGAGAGGGCAGGATGTCCCTCTCCTTACTAACAAATAACCCCCCACCAATAACCAAAATCAACCCCTTCCCCCCCCACCCCCCTGTTAATGTAACTCATTCCCCCCCAACTAGTCCCACTCCTCCCCCACCCCCTCCCCCCCCTCCTCCCCCACATCCTCCCCCCTCCTCCCCCCTCCCCTCCCATCCTCCCCCCTCCTTCCTTCCCCCCTCTCCCCCCCCCCCCCCCCCCCCCCCTCCCCTCCTCCCCCTCACCCTTCCATCACCCCCCCCCACCCCCCCCTTCCCATCACCCCGTCCCACCATACCCCCCTCCCTCCTCCTCCCCCACCAACCCCCTTCCATCTCCCCCATCCCCCCCCTACCTCCCCCCATCTCCCCCCCACCATATTCCATCCCCCCCACCCCCCCCCCCCACCCCCGTTCCCCCCCCCTCCCCCCATCCCCCCCTCCCCCCTCCCCCTCCCCCCCCCTTCTTATTCATACCCCCCCCTTCCCCCCCCCCCCCCCCACCTCCTCCTCCCCTCCCTCCCCCCACACCCCCCTTCCCCCTCCCCCCCCCATACCCCACCCCCTCCTCCTCCCATCCCCCCCCCTACCTCCTCCCCTTCCTCCCCCCCCCCCCCCTACCTCCTCCCCCCCTCCTCCCCCCCCCCATACCCCCACCCCTCTCCCCATCCTCACCCCCCCCCCCCTCCACCCCCCCCCCCCCCTACCTACCTCCTTTCCTCCCCCCATCCTCCCACCCCCCCCCTCCAACCTCCCCGTCCCACCATCCCACCTCCCCTTCCATCACCTTCCCCCCCCCCCATCCCCCCTCCCCCCCCCCTCCCCTCCCTCCCCCATACCCTTTCCTTCTCCTCTTCCCCCCCCCCCAACATACCCCATCCCTCTCCCCCCCCTACCTCCCCCCATCCCTCCATCCCACCATACCTCCCCTCCCCCCCCCCCCCCATACCCTTTCCCCCCCCCTCCCTCCCCCCCCCCCCTTCCCCCCCTCCCCTCCCCCCCTCTTCCCTCTCCTCCACCCCCCCTACCCCTTCCATAAACCCCTCCCCCCCCACCTTCCTCCCACCTTCCTCTTCCCTCCCCCCCTCCCCCCCCCCCTTCCATCTCCCCGTCCTCACCATACCCCTTACCTCCCCCCCTCCTCCCCACCTCCCATTACCCCTTCCATCTCCTCCCTCCCCCCATCCCCCTCCTCCTCCCTCCCCTCCCCCCCCCAACCCCCCTTCCCCCCCCCCCTCCCCCCCACCCCCCCATCTCCCCCTCCTCACCACCACTCCTCCTTCCCCCCCTCTTCCTCACCCCCCTCCCCACCCCCCTTCCCCCTCCCCCAAATACCTCCCCCCCCCCCATCCTCCCCCCCCCTCCCCCCCTTCCATCTCCTCCACCCCCCTACCCCTTCAACCCTCCCCCCCCCTCCTCACCCCTTTATCCCCTACCCCCCCCCTACTCTCCCCCCCCATCCCCCTCCCCCCCCCCCCTCCTTCCCTCCCCCCCCCCCCCCCTCTTCCCTCCTCCTCCCCCTCCCCCCCTCTCCCCCTCCATCCCCCCCCCCCCCCCCTCCTTCCCCTCCTCCCCCCCCCCACCCATACCCCCCCCCTCTCCCCCCATCCCACCCCCTCCTTCCCCCCCCCCCCCACCCCCCCCCTCCTTCCCTCCCCCCCTCCCCCCCCCACCCCCCCTCCCCCCCCTCCCCCCCCCCACCACCCCCCCCCATCCCCCCTCCCCCCCCTTCCATCCCCTCCATCCCCCCCCCCCCCCCCCCCCCCCCCCCCCCCCCCCCCTCCCCCCCCCCTCCCCCCCCCCACCCCCCCCCCCCTCCCCCCCCCCCCCTCCCCCCCCCCCCCCCCCTTCATCTCCCCCCCCACCCCCCCCCCTCCCTTCCCTCTCCCCCCCCCCCCCTCCCCCCCCCCTCTTCCCCCCCCCCCCTCCATCCCCCCCCCTCCATCCCCTCCTCCCCCCCCCCCCCATACCTCCCCCCTCCCCCCCCCTCCCCTCCCCCCCCCTCCTTCCATCCCCCTCCCCCCTCCCAAACCTCCCCTTCCCAAATCCCCCCCCCCCCCCCCCCCCCCCCCTTCCATCCCCCCCCCTCCCCCCCCCCCTTCCATCTACTTCCTCACCCCCCCCCCCCCCCCCCCCTCCTCACCCCCTTCCTTCCCCACCAAACCCCCACCCCCCCCACCCCCCCCCCCCCCCCCCCCCCCTTCCTCCCCCTTCCCCTCCCCACCCCCTCCCCCCCTCCTTCAATCCCCTTCTTTCTCCCCATACCCTTCCATCCCTCCCCCTCCCCCCCCCCATCCCCAATCTCCCCCACCAAACCTCCTTCCATCCCTGTCCTCACATCACCATACCCCCCTTCCTCTCCCCCTTCACCATACCCCCCTTCCATCCCTCCATCCCCCATATCTCCCCCCCCCCCCCCCCCCCCCTCCTTCTTTTCCCCCCCCCCCCCCCTCCTTCCATCCCCCTTCCCACCATACTTGCCCCCATCACCCCCCCTCACCATACCCCCCCCCCCCTCCTCCATCCTGACCATATCCCTTTCCCTCCTTCCCCTACATACCCCCCCCTCCCCATCCTCCCCCATACCTGCCCCCCCCCCCCCCACCATAATTTCTTTCATCTATTTCCTCACCATACCTTCTTCCATCTCCTTCCCCCTCCCATACCTCCCCCCCCCCCCTCCATCCCCCCATACCCCTTCCATCCCTTCCCCCCCCCACCCCCCCCCCCCCCCCTATCCTCCCCCCCCTCCCCCCATCTTCCCATCCTCCCCCCTCCTTCCATCCCCCCTCCCCCCCCCCCCCCCCCCCCCCCCCCCCCCCCTCCCCCCAACCCCCCCCCCTCCCCCCCCCCTTCCAGCCCCTTCCTCCTCCCCAAACCTCCCCCCCAACCCTTCCAACCCTCCTCCTCACCATACCTCCTTCCAGCTCCTTCCTCCTCACCATACCTCCTTCCAACTCCTTCCTCCTCACCATACCTCCTTTCGTCTTGTTCTTCCACACCATACCTCCTTCCTCCCCATTATACCTCCTTCCATCTGCTCCTCATGCCTCCTATCCCCAGTAGCTCATGCCCCCCCCCCCCCCCCATGCCTCCTTCTATCCACAGGACCTTATTGCTCCCTCACCCCTGGTACTCACCATGCCGTCGGAGCAGTTGGACCTGGGGCTGGAGACGTCGGAGTCGCCGTTGTAGGGCTCCATGTTGGGATAGTATGAGGGTTCCTGATCGCGGAGGAGGCTCTGCAGGCTCTCGATGTATCGGATGGCATTGCGGAGGATCTCCACCTTCGGGAGCCTCTGGTTGGGGTTGGGGCTGGTGCACCTCTTCAGGGTCTCAAAGGCTTCGTTGACTTTGCTGAGTCGCCGTCTCTCCCGCATGGTGGCGGCTCTCCTCCGGTCGGCCGAGCTGGTCTTCCTCTTGCAGGCTTTACACGCCCAGAGCAGACATCGGCCGGCCTGATGGTGGCCGCTGGGGGCCCGGACATGCTCCTCCTCCTCGGGGGCCAGAGTCGGGCTCCAGATCCTTAGCTAGGGTGACCGCTGGGGGCCCGGGGACTCCAGATCCCCTCGAAGAATGGGGGAGGGGGGGGAATCCCAGGGCGGGACCTCCCCTGATTGGAGGGAGAACTCATCCCCGTCGGGGGAACTTTACAACGGAAAGGGGTGGGGGCACGGTACTATGGGGGGCGTACTAGATCGGCTCTACAGACACGGCATAATCCCCCGTCCCGGAGAGAACACATCGGAGGGGGGGGGGGGGGGCGGCTGGGGGCGAGAACTTCGGAGGAGACCACAGGGGGACAACAAGTCCTGTATCTCCGCTTCCCCCCCTCTGCGGGACACCTGTCTCTGCGGAGGATATATGGGGGGGGGGGGGAATCCCAGGATGGCGGGACCTCCCCGGGGGGCGCTCTGATTGGAGGAGAACTGTTCCCCGTCCCGGGGAGAACTTTTTACACGGAAGGGGGGGGGGGGCACGGTACTATGGGGGGCTGTACTATGGGGGGGGCATCACCTGACTAGAGGAGACTTCACCCCCCACCATACGTCTCATCAGATTGGGGGAGATCGGGGGGCTGTATTATGGGGGGGGGGGTTCTGATTGAGACCCCCTCCCTCCCTCCCATCCCCTTTCTGTGGAGAGAAATTCTCAAAACCCCCTGTAGGGGGGCATTCACTATTCAGGATGGGGGGGGACTGTTCTGAACTTATACACACAGGATGGAGGGGGGGGGGGGCACGGTACACAGGATGGGGGGCTGTTCTGATATATTGGGGGGGGGACTGTTCTGTAGGGGGATACTACCCCTGTTCTGTAGGGGGGATATATACTACAACAGGATGGGGGGGACTGTTCTGTAGGGGGCATATACTATGGGGGGGGGACTGTTCTGTAGGGGGATCATTACTACACAGGGGGGGGGGGACGGTACTAGGGGGGATATATACTACACAGGGGGATATACTACAGGGGGGGGGGACTGTTCTGTAGGGGACCCCCCCCCCCTCCTCCTATCCACAGGATGGGGGGGACCCTGTTCTGGGGGGGTAATATACTAAACTTCTGTTACTGTGGGGAGGACTACACAGGATGGGGGGGACTGTTCTGTGGGGGGGATATAACTATGGGGGCTGACTGGGGGGACTGTTCTGTAGGGGGGCATATATTCACATGGGGGGGACTGTTCTGTTAGGGGGGTGTATATACTACACCAGGGGGGGGGGGGGATCATATAAACTCTGTGGGGGATGTTCTGGGGGGGATATATACTACTACAGGGGGGGGGGTTCTGATTGGAGGAGACCCCTCCCTCCCTGTTCTGTAGGGGGTATATACTCTACACAGGATGGGGGGGACTGTTCTGTAGGGGGATATATACTACACAGGATGGGGGGGGGACTGTTCTGTAGGGGGGATATATACTACACAGGATGGGGGGGGACTGTTCTGTAGGGGGGCATATACTACACAGGATGGGGGGGACTGTTCTGTAGGGGGGCATATACTACACAGGATGGGGGGGACTGTTCTGTAGGGGGGATATATACTACACAGGATGGGGGGGGGACTGTTCTGTAGGGGGGATATATACTACACAGGATGGGGGGGACTGTTCTGTAGGGGGGATATATACTACACAGGATGGGGGGGACTGTTCTGTAGGGGGGTATATATACTACACAGGATGGGGGGGACTGTTCTGTAGGGGGGATATATACTACACAGGATGGGGGATGGGGGGGGGACTGTTCTGTAGGGGGGATATATACTACACAGGATGGGGGGGGACTGTTCTGTAGGGGGGATATATACTACACAGGATGGGGGGGGCTGTTCTGTAGGGGGGTATATACTACACAGGATGGGGGGGACTGTTCTGTAGGGGGGTATATACTACACAGGATGGGGGGGGACTGTTCTGTAGGGGGGATATATACTACACAGGATGGGGGGGACTGTTCTGTAGGGGGGATATATACTACACAGGATGGGGGGACTGTTCTGTAGGGGGGTTATATACTACACAGGATGGGGGGACTGTTCTGTAGGGGGTATATATACTACACAGGATGGGGGGGGGACTGTTCTGTAGGGGGGATATATACTACACAGGATGGGGGGGACTGTTCTGTAGGGGGGATATATACTACACAGGATGGGGGGGGGGGACTGTTCTGTAGGGGGGATATATACTACACAGGATGGGGGGGGACTGTTCTGTAGGGGGGATATATACTACACAGGATGGGGGGGACTGTTCTGTAGGGGGTATATACTACACAGGATGGGGGGGACTGTTCTGTAGGGGGGGTATATACTACACAGGATGGGGGGGACTGTTCTGTAGGGGGCATATACTATACACAGGATGGGGGGACTGTTCTGTAGGGGGGATATATACTACACAGGATGGGGGGGGACTGTTCTGTAGGGGGGATATATACTACACAGGATGGGGGGGACTGTTCTGTAGGGGGGATATATACTACACAGGATGGGGGGGGACTGTTCTGTAGGGGGGATATATACTACTCAGGATGGGGGGGACTGTTCTGTAGGGGGGATATATACTACACAGGATGGGGGGGGGCTGTTCTGTAGGGGGGTATATACTGCACAGGATGGGGGGGGACTGTTCTGGAGGGGGTATATACTGCACAGGATGGGGGGGGACTGTTCTGTAGGGGGGTATATACTACACAGGATGGGGGGGGACTGTTCTGTAGGGGGGTATATACTACACAGGATGGGGGGGGACTGTTCTGTAGGGGGGTATATACTACACAGGATGGGGGGACTGTTCTGGAGGGGGTATATACTACACCCTTTTGCCTAGGGGTGCCCTTGCCTAGGGGTGCCATTGCCTAGTGGTGCCATTGTCTGCTGGTGACATTGCCTAGGGGTGCCCTTGCCTAGGGGTGCCATTGCATAGTGGTGCCATTGCCTAGTGGTGTCATTGCCTAGGGGTGCCTTGCCTTGCCTATTGCATAGGGTGCCATTGCCTAGGGGTGCCATTGCCTGGGGGTGCCATTGCCTAGTGGTGCCATTGCCTAGGGGTGCCGTTGCCTAGGGGTGCCATTGCATAGTGGTGCCATTGCCTAGGGGTGCCATTGCCTGGGGGTGCCATTGCCTAGGGGTGCCATTGCCTAGTGGTGCCATTGTCTGCTGGTGACATTGCCTAGGTGTGCTTTTGCCTGGTGGTGCCATTGCCTAGGGGTGCCCTTGCCTAGGGGTGCCATTGCATAGTGGTGCCATTGCCTGGGGGTGCCATTGCCTGGGGGTGCCATTGCCTGGGGTGATGTTGCCTGGTGGTGCCATTGCCTGGGGGTGCCATTGCCTGGGGGTGCCATTGCCTGGTGGTGACGTTGCCTGGTGATGATGTTCATACCCTCATGTTACAGATATCCATAGAACCAAGTTCATTCACGTAGATGCTCCAAGGAATGGGCCCCATTGGAGGGGAAGGTGGTGAGGAAGTCAGATGACATGATCCAGCGCTCATCACTGTACAACTCCTCACCATGAAGTCGGTTCCTCAAGTGACAAGTGACACGCATGTAGGGGAAAGCATGTCACAGGAATACGTTGGCCCCTACATGCACCAATTACACTGCAATGACCTAACGGCCTTAGCACAATATAAAGTAGGCTCCTACCTGCACCCACATGGCACTCTATTTCTCCAGCACTTCCGTCTTGTAGGCCTTTTGTCTGTTGGTGGCAGTAGTAGGTGGTCATCCATACAGCAGGAACCTCACCTCGGTGTCATGTAGAGTCAGTCCAGGTGCTGAGGAGAATTCTTGAGCTGCAGCTAGTTGATTGATGTAGATGTTGGAGAGGACTGGTCTTAGGCTGTAGTCCTCTCCGGGCTGCCGGAACTGTTCTGCTCTTTTCCCGTTCACTTTGACGCTGCAGCTGTTCTCGGCAAATGGACTCTTGATGCCATCATATGTTTTCCTTCCTATTCTGCTCCCCAACAGGCCTGGGTGTCACTCTGAATCAAAGGCTTTCCTAATGTCCACCAAACAGGTGAACACCCTTCCATGCTTTGTATTGTGGACAAGGTCCTTGCTGGGACTGTGCAGAGAGTAGATGTGGTCTGTGCTGCAACGGTTTGGTATTAATCCCACCTGACTTCTATTCTTCTTGGCAGGGACAGAGAATTCCCTGCAGTGGTAGGTGCTCATCCCGTGTCCAAGTGCATGGTTCCAGCAGGATGTGTACACCTTATTGCCAAAATTATTAAGCCGCCGGTCTTCCCACACACATGACCTTATGACCAGGGGCGGACTGACAACTCATGGGGCCCCCGGGCAATAGGGGATCATGGGGCCCCTGTGTCCTTGCCCAAACTCAAAAAAGCCTATGAAAAAGGTACCAGGGCATCTCATGGGCCCCCTACAGATCCCGGGCCCTTGAGCAGTGCCCAAATGGTCAGTCCGCCCCTGCTTATGACCTTTTACGGCCTCCCAGGTCTTAGTCCATAGGACCTTTAATTCAATATTGAGTTGACCCTGCCCTTTCCACGCACATGACCTTTAATGGCCCCCCAGTCTTAGTCCATAGGATTCAATATTGAGTTGACCCCGCCCTTTCCACGCACATGACCTTTAATGGCCCCCCAGTCTTAGTCCGTAGGGTTCAGTATTGAGTTGGCCCCGCCCTTTGCAGCTATAACATCTTCAACTCTTCTGGGAAGGCCGTCCACCCTCCACCAAACTTTAGAGTTGGCTCAATGCAGTTAGGTAAGTACCGTTCTCCTGGCCACCGCCAAACTCAGACACGTCCATCGGATTACCAGACAGAGGAGCATGATTGGTCACCTCAGAGAACACGCTTCCTCTGCTCTAGAGTCCAGTGGCGGCGTGCTTTACACCACGGCATCCGCCGCTTTGCATTGCACTTGGTGATGGAAGGCTTGGATGCAGCTGCTCTAGAGTCCAGTGGCGGCGTGCTTTACACCACGTCATCCAACGCTTTACATTGCACTTGGTGATGGAAGGCTTGGATGCAGCTGCTCGGCCATGGAAACCCATTCCATGAAGCTCTCTACGCACTGTTGTTGGGCTCATCTGAAGGCCACACCAAGTTTGGAGGTCTTTAGCTATTGACTCTGCAGACAGTTGGTGACTTCTGCGCACTGTGCGCTTCAGCATGCGCTGACCCCGCCCTGTCATGTGACGTGGCCTACCACTTGGTGGCTGAGTGGCTGTTGTTCCCAGTGGCTTCCACTTTGTTATAATCCCACTAACAGTTGAGCGTGGAATATTTAGTGGCCAGGAAATGTCACGGATGGACTTATTGCCCAGGTGGCCACCTATCACGGGGGACCACGCTTGGAGTCACTGAGCTCCTGAGAGCGACCCATTCTTTCACCAATGTTTGTAGAAGCCGTCTGCATGTCTAGGGGCTTGATTGTATACACCTGTGTCCATGGAGGGGATTGGAACACCTGAATCACATGATATGGAGGGGATTGGAACACCTGAATCACATGATTGGGAGGGGATTGGAACACCTGAATCACATGATATGGAGGGGATTGGAACACCTGAATCACATGATTGGGAGGGGATTGGAACACCTGAATCACATCATATGGAGGGGATTGGAACACCTGAATCACGTGATATGGAGGGGATTGGAACACCTGAATCACATGATATGGAGGGGATTGGAACACCTGAATCACATGATTGGGAGGGGATTGGAACACCTGAATCAAATGATTGGGAGGGGATTGGAACACCTGAATCACATGATATGGAGGGGATTGGAACACCTGAATCAAATGATTGGGAGGGGAGTTGGAACACCTGAATCACATGATATGGAGGGGATTGGAACACCTGAATCACATGATTGGGAGGGGATTGTAACACCTGAATCACGTGATTGGAGGGGATTGGAACACCTGAATCACATGATTGGAGGGGATTGGAACACCTGAATCACATGATACGGAGGGGATTGTAACACCTGAATCACATGATTGGGAGGGGATTGGAACACCTGAATCACATGATATGGAGGGGCTTGGAACACCTGAATCACACATGACATGATGGAGGGGATTGGAACACCTGAATCACATGATATAGAGGGGATTGGAACACCTGAATCATGATTGATATGGAGGGGATTGGAACACCTGAATCACATGATATGGAGGGGATTGGAACACCTGAATCACAATTCACTGATTCACATATTGGCGGGGATTGGTAACACCTGATTCACATGATTAGGAGGGGGTGGGGACAATACTTGGGGCAATATAGTGTATGTTGATGTCACACAATCTGGCTTATATACATTGGATGACCCCGAATATTCCTGACTAGTGATGTCATTTCTGTATATATACTGTACCTGTAATGGGCAGATGATAAATCCGACTATGAATGGTCCTCACTATATGTCGCAGAATGTGCAGAGGAGGGTCCCTGTCTACTCCATATCTCCACTATGTGGTGGTCCTGATGACCATCTTGGGGTAGATTGGTGTCCACCTTGGGGTAGATTGATGACCATCTTGGGGTAGATTGATGTCCATCTTGGGGTAGATTGAAGACCATCTTGGGCTAGATTGGTGTCCATCTTGGTCTAGATTGATGTCCATCTTGGGCTAGATTGATGACCATCTTGGGGTAGATTGGTGTCCATCTTGGGGTAGATTGATGACCATCTTGGGGTAGATTGGTGTCCATCTTGGGGTAGATTGGTGTCCATCTCTGGTGGATTGATGTCCATCTTGGGATGGATTGATGTCCATCTTGGGGTGGATTGATGACCATCTTGGGATGGATTGGTGTCCATCTTGGGGTAGATTGATGACCATCTTGGGGTAGATTGGTGTCCATCTTGAGGTAGATTGATGACCATCTTGGGGTAGAATGGTGTCCATCTTGGGGTAGATTGGTGTCCATCTTGGGATAGATTGATGTCCATCTTGGGATAGATTGATGACCTTCTTGGGGTAGATTGATGTCCATTTTGGGGTAGATTGATGACCATCTTGGGATAGATTGGTGTCCATCTTGGGATAGATTGGTGTCCAACTTGGCTTAGATTGATGTCCATCTTGGGGTAGATTGATGACCATCTTGGGGTAGATTGGTGTCCATCTTGGGGTAGATTGGTGTCCATCTTGGGGTAGATTGGTGTCCATCTTGAGGTAGATTGGTGTCCATCTTGGGATAGATTGATGACCTTCTTGGGGTAGATTGATGACCATCTTGTGGGGTAGATTGGTGTCCATCTTGGGGTAGATTGATGTCCATCTTGGGGTAGATTGATGACCATCTTGGGTAGATTGATGTCCATCTTGGGGGTAGATTTATGTCCATCTTGGGATAGATTGATGACCTTCTTGGGGTAGATTGATGACCATCTTGGGGTAGATTGATGTCCATCTTGGGGTAGATTGATGTCCATCTTGGGGTAGATTGATGACCTTCTTGGGGTAGATTGGTGTCCATCTTGGGGTAGATTGATGACCCTTGGGGGTAGATTGATGACCTTCTTGGGGTAGATTGATGTCCATCTTGGGGTAGATTGATGACCTTCTTGGGGTAGATTGGATCCGTCTTGGGGTAGATTGATGTCCATCTTGGGGTAGATTGGTGTCCATCTTGGGGTAGATTGGTATCCATCTTGGGATAGATTGATGTCCATCTTGGGATAGATTGATGACCATTCTTGGGGTAGATTGATGTCCATTTTGGGGTAGATTGATGACCATCTTGGGATAGATTGGTGTCCATCTTGGGATAGATTGGTGTCCATCTTGGGTTAGATTGATGTCCATCTTGGGGTAGATTGATGTCCATCTTGGGGTAGATTGATGACCATCTTGGGGTAGATTGATGTCCATCTTGGGGTAGATTGGTGTCCATCTTGGGCTAGATTGATGACCATCTTGGGATAGATTGGTGTCCATCTTGGGGTAAATTGATGACCATCTTAGGGTAGATTGGTGTCCATCTTGGGGTAGATTGATGTCCATCTTGGGGTAGATTGGTGTCCATCTTGGGGTAGATTGGTGTCCATCTTGGGGTAGATTGGTGTCCATCTTGGGATAGATTGATGACCTTCTTGGGGTAGATTGATGACCATCTTGGGGTAGATTGGTGTCCATCTTGGGGTAGATTGGTGACCATCTTGGGGTAGATTGGTGTCCATCTTGGGGTAGATTGGTGTCTATCTTGAGGTAGATTGGTGTCCATCTTGGGATAGATTGATGACCTTCTTGGGGTAGATTGATGACCATCTTGGGGTTAGATTGGTGTCCATCTTGGGGTAGATTGGTGTCCATCTTGGGGTAGATTGATGACCATCTTGGGGTAGATTGATGTCCATCTTGGGGTAGATTGGTGTCCATCTTGGGATAGATTGATGACCTTCTTGGGGTAGATTGATGACCATCTTGGGGTAGATTGATGTCCATCTTGGGGTAGATTGATGTCCATCTTGGGGTAGATTGATGACCTTCTTGGGGTAGATTTGGTGTCCATCTTGGGGTAGATTGATGACCTTCTTGGGGTAGATTGATGACCTTCTTGGGGTAGATTGATGTCCATCTTGGGGTAGATTGATGACCTTCTTGGGGTAGATTGGTATCTGTCTTGGGGTAGATTGATGTCCATCTTGGGGTAGATTGGTGTCCATCTTGGGGTAGATTGGTATCCATCTTGGGATAGATTGATGTCCATCTTGGGATAGTAGATTGATGACCTTCTTGGGGTAGATTGATGTCCATTTTGGGGTAGATTGATGACCATCTTGGGATAGATTGGTGTCCATCTTGGGATAGATTGGTGTCCATCTTGGGTTAGATTGATGTCCATCTTGGGGTAGATTGATGTCCATCTTGGGTAGATTGATGACCATCTTGGGGTAGATTGATGTCCATCTTGGGCTAGATTGGTGTCCATCTTGGGCTAGATTGATGACCATCTTGGGATAGATTGGTGTCCATCTTGGGGTAAATTGATGACCATCTTAGGGTAGATTGGTGTCCATCTTAGGGTAGATTGGTGTCCATCTTGGGGTAGATTGGTGTCCATCTTGGGGTAGATTGGTGTCCATCTTGGGATAGATTGATGACCTTCTTGGGGTAGATTGATGACCATCTTGGGGTAGATTGGTGTCCATCTTGGGGTAGATTGGTGACCATCTTGGGGTAGATTGATGACCATCTTGGGGTAGATTGATGTCCATCTTGGGGTAGATTGGTGTCCATCTTGGGATAGATTGATGACCTTCTTGGGGTAGATTGATGACCTTCTTGGGGTAGATTGATGTCCATCTTGGGGGATTAGATCTTGGGGTAGATTGATGACCATCTTGGGGTAGATTGGTGTCCATCTTGGGGTAGATTGGTGACCATCTTGGGGTAGATTGATGACCATCTTGGGGTAGATTGATGACCATCTTGGGGTAGATTGATGACCATCTTGGGGTAGATTGATGACCTTCTTGGGGTAGATTGATGTCCATCTTGGGGTAGATTGATGACCATCTTGGGGTAGATTGGTGTCCATCTTGGGGTAGATTGGTGACCATCTTGGGATAGATTGATGACCTTCTTGGGGTAGATTGATGACCTTCTTGGGGTAGATTGATGACCTTCTTGGGGTAGATTGATGTCCATCTTGGGGTAGATTGATGACCATCTTGGGGTAGATTGATGACCATCTTGGGGTAGATTGGTGTCCATCTTGGGGTAGATTGGTGACCATCTTGGGGTAGATTGATGACCATCTTGGGGTAGATTGATGTCCATCTTGGGGTAGATTGGTGTCCATCTTGGGGTAGATTGGTGTCCATCTTGGGATAGATTGATGACCTTCTTGGGGTAGATTGATGACCTTCTTGGGGTAGATTGATGTCCATCTTGGGGTAGATTGATGACCATCTTGGGGTAGATTGATGTCCATCTTGGGGTAGATTGGTATCCATCTTGGGGTAGATTGATGACCTTCTTGGGGTAGATTGATGTCCATCTTGGGGTAGATTGATGACCATCTTGGGGTAGATTGGTGTCCATCTTGGGGTAGATTGGTGGGACCATCTTGGGATAGATTGATGACCTTCTTGGGGTAGATTGATGACCTTCTTGGGGTAGATTGATGTCCATCTTGGGGTAGATTGGTATCCATCTTGGGGTAGATTGGTATCCATCTTGGGGTAGATTGATGTCCATCTTAGGGTATATGTTCTTCTCCACCTCTGCGGGGGTTGTCAATCCCCAATAACTTTTTTACTGACAAAACATGGAACAATTACTGACGGCACACATTTCGCTGCCATCTGGAACAGAAAATCAATACTTAAACAATATGTAAATATTAAAAATGAATCCGCCGGCTTTTCAATTAAACACTCAAAACAGAAAGACAAAACGTGAGCATGACTTGGATCATGAATGGGCTGGAGGTCCCGGGGAGACAAAGATATCGATCGATTCTGTTTGCGTGTGTGACGGGAGATCGTGGAACAGAACCTGTGCCTAGTGGCGGTATACACTGTACACGTATGTCACAGTCCTTGTACCTATGGAATATTCCTCATTACTGCACCACAACCGAGAGACACACACAGACACAGCGCCACAGACACAGAATGCAGACACAGCGTCACAGACACAGCGTCACAGACATGCAGACACAGCGTCACAAACACGCAGACACAGCATCACAGACACGCAGACACGCATCACAGACACAGCGTCACAGACACGCAGACACAGCGTCACAGACACGCAGACACAGCGTCACAGACACAGCGTCACAGACACGCAGACACAGCGTCACAGACACAGCGCCACAGACACACACACAGACACAGCGCCACAGACACGCAGACACAGTCACAGACATGCAGACACAGCGTCACAGACACAGCGTCACAGACATGCAGACACAGCGCCACAGACACGCAGACACAGCATCACAGACACGCAGACACAGCATCACAGACACGCAGACACAGCATCACAGACACGCAGACACAGCATCACAGACACGCAGACACAGCATCACAGACACGCAGACACAGCGTCACAGACACGCAGACACAGCGTCACAGACACGCAGACACAGCGTCACAGACACGCAGACAGCATCACAGACACGCAGACACAGCGTCGCAGACACACACGCAGACACAGCGTCACAGACACAGACATGCAGACACAGCGTCACAGACACAGCGTCACAGACATGCAGACACAGCGCCACAGACACAGACACAGCATCAC